TCCAGGTTTCTCTAGTCTTCCTTTGCTGTCTACATGGAAGGCCTTCAGCCTGCTGTCTCCAGTACAGCCAAGGTATTTTCAGTTGCATTGGGAATCCCACCATTCAATACTCCATTTGTTATGTTTTGGGAACTGAAATCCCTTTGGGTCTTGAAGACTTGTGATCCTTTATGGTAATTCTCGAGACGATCAGGAAAAGCTTTGAGGTTTCCACAAATGGGCCTCTCTAGGGAGGTTAAGACCACTGAAGCTAAGAAAGGTTCTTAGGGTGAAGGATTGGGGGGCAGTGACTTGTGGATTACTAAACTGGGAAAGGGGGGAAGACAGTTGATAGAATAATGAAGGAAGCAGAATGGTACTCCATGCTGAGGACCTTCATCTGCTTCGTCCAGATACTCATTTTAAAAACATCGCTGGAACCAAGAACAGAGGACAAATGAATGACTAAGATTGTCTTTGTAGCACTTAGTATAGCTTAGTGATGGCATCATTATTAGTAACAACCATATACGGAGCCATAAATGTAGTTTAGCTCTCTGTATGCTTCTCTTGGTAGAGCCTCTTTGTCCTTCTAGTCTGTAGAGATGTTGTTAAGGATGGCAAACAGGCTAAGTCAGGGCACTGATAGATGCCAGAGCTGGGATTTAAGCTGTGTCTTAGCGTTTCTGTTGCAATGAATAGACACATGACCACTGCCACTCTTATAAAGAAAACATGTCATTCGGGTGGCTCACTTACAGTTTCAGAGGTTCAGTTCGTTATCATCATGGCGGGGAGTGTGGTGAGGTGCCGCAGACGGAGAGTCCTACATCTTGCAGGCAACAGGAAATTGACCGAGACACTGGGTGGTATCCTGATAGGAAGCCTCAAAGCCCGTCCCTACAATGACACACTTCTTTTAACAAGGCCATGCTCACTCCAACAAGGCCACACCTCCTAATAGTGTCACTCCCGTGAGATGATGGGGGCCAATTACAATCAAACTACCACAAGTTGCTGTACCTGATCATAAACTTATGCTCTTAAGTTTGTAGTTCCACTGTTTTTTAAGGAGTAAACCACTGGACAGACAAAATAAAGGAGTGCCTAGCCCTCAGCTCATACCTTTAAAGGATTTCCTGAGGGTCCAGATGTTAATTATTGTGCTTTTGCTTGTCTTAGATGTGTTCTAGCTGCTCAGTCTCAACTTTTCTGCCAAGACTTCTTATTTCTGACGTGAAGAGAACGGGGACCTTTGCATGGTCATTACGGATCTCAACAACCCAAATTGACTGAAGGGATTTTTTTCTTTCTGGAATTGAAAAGATTGTGGATAGCACACACCAGCAACATGGTAGGCTTTTCTGTTCTAGAAGGCACTGTTTCATGGACTGACAGGACTGCGCAGCTGCTGAACGCCTCTGCTACCCAGCCCAATAAGCTGAGTTCCATCTCTGGGTTCCACATGTGGTGAAGAGAGAACTGACTCCCACGAGTTGTCCTCTGATCTCCACACATGTGCCGTGGCATGTGGGTGTACACACGCACACTCATAATAATCAAACAATTTCAATAAAGGTGTGAATATTTAAAAAAACAGAGGAGGGAAAGGAAGGGGAGGGGAGGGAAGGGAAGGGAAGGGTAGGGCAGGGTAGGGCAGGGTAGGGCAGGGCAGGGACAGGATGTGGCTCAGTGGTAGAGAGCTTGCCTGGCCTGCACAGTGCCTCGGCTTAGAGCTCAGCACTGTAGGACAAACAAACAGCAAGATGGTGAAACAAAGCAAAAACTTCAATTTTCCCCACAGACGAAGTAATGAGCTTTAGCGAGAAGTGGGGCCGTGTGTTGGGGAGGTTAACATAAAAAGTCTTAGGGTGTTAGAGTAATTTGTTCCTTTCTGAGTCTCTGTTTTCCAAGCATTATGCAGTTCATAATAGTGTATGCTTTTATACATTATACCTGAGGCATTAAAGATTGTTCTTTATAACATGTGTGTGTGTGTGAGAGAGAGAGAGAGAGAGCGAGCGAGAGAGAGAGAGAGAGAGAGAGAGAGAGAGAGAGAGAGAGAGAGAGAGAGAGAGAGAGAGAGAGAGAGAATGTGGGCACAAGTGCCTGGCGTGTGTGGAGGTGTGAGGGAAACTTTGTTCTGTCAGGTTTGTCCTTGGGTTTCAAGGACTGAGCTCAGGTTGTCAGGCCTGCAAGGAAAGTGCTGCTGAGGCATTTGCTGGCTTGTCTAACCTTTTAATCAGATTTTTTTGTTTGTTTGTTTAAAGTTACACCACAACTCTATTTTAGTGAGTTAAGGTTACATGATGGGACTAGGTCATAACCCTACTTCATTATTTAATACTGAGGGTTTTTAAAACTATTCTAAGATGGCTTGTTGTTAAAACCATTGAGAAACGTTTTCATTTTTCTAATTTATTTCATTTCCACTAGCCACTTAGGTTTTTACCTTTTCAGCGAAACCGAGGTTGGGCAAGAGTGCCTGCCTGTTCTCAGTTGCCTTCTCATGGACTCTGGCCAAGATCGGCATTCAGGAAAAATTGTCTTTAGTGAAACATAACAGAAATTAAAATTCGGGGCCAGGTGAAAGCAAGTTTTGTTCTTTAGGTCTTTGTCTCAGTAGAAGCTAAGGAAGAATTGCCTTTGTTTGGTACAGATCCTCCTAACGTGTTCTGGAAATTATTGATGCAGCGTCTGTGAGGAACCTGGGGCTCGGGTGTTACAGCGCAGGCCCTCCTGAGGTGCCGACCGTGGAAACTGCGGCATCCCAAGTCCTGTGTTTTGCTGCACATCCCAAGGATCCTGCCTTGATTGACTCTGCTCCAGGCAGGGGTGTTCTCACAGCTCGTCCTACGGTGAAAACATACTTGTTTGAGTTCAAATTAAGTTCTCCTGTCTTAGGAGTGTGTCGGCAGTGGGGATGCAGCTCACTTTACAAAGCACTTGCCCAGCATACAGGAAGTCCTGAATTCTACCCCCACCATGGTGGCGAAGCTGTAATCCTAGCACTCAGGAGATGGCAGCCGGATGATCAGAAGGCCAACAGCTCCACAGTGAGTTTAAGGACAACCTGGACACATGACGTGAGACCCAGCCTCAACATCAAACAAGCAGTCCAACTGACTGGACAACTGATTTTATAATCCCATTCCACAGGGTTATGGGAAAAAGAAAATGAAGCAAGAACAAAGAAATTTTTATTGTGTGTTCCCAAGGGGAGGAAAATCACGCATTTGTACAGTCAAGTCACTTACTTGCCTTAGAAATAAAGTTTTTATTGACATTTTCAACTCAGGCAGTGCATAATTCTCAATGAGAGCCAAACCCTTCATATTAAATTCTTTGATTCACAGCTGCTTTGTACTTTTAATCTAGCCCAAATGATTTTGTCCTAATAGGGTACTCTGGTCTTTACGAAAGCTGTCTAGCACCCTTTTGATGTTTTGCTTCTCTCTGGTTTTGGACTTAGGTACTGCTGATGACACGTTTGAAAAAAGTCCCATATCACCTCTGTCTGGGCCAGCAGGTGGCCCTTGCTGCTAACTTCATACTCTCAGTTTTGTTTCCTCATTCTATGCCTTTTCAAATCTCCCAGTGATCTCAGCACTGGGTTGTCAGAACCATTTCGGATGCCAACTCAGCTCCCTGTTTTCAAGTGAGTGGTTTGAAGGCATGTATCACTCCTCCAGCGATGAGCTAAGGCCTGGCTTTCATGTGTGCAGTTACCAGCCTGAGATAAGGACTTGTGTTGACAAGAGTTTGCTAACACATCACTGTGATGATACATCCTGTCAGCTGTCTACAATCACTTCTCCAGGACAATATCCTGTCTGTCGACTGTTGGTTCTCTTAAGGAATGCCTATTTTAATCTTCTGATGAGTTCTTCTCTATTTCTGTATAAAATGACAGAATAGGAACTAACTTTTTGTTTGTGTGTGTTTATGCCTTGTGCTCCTTATTGCCCTTGAATGAAAGAATACATCAATGAAACATCAAAGCTATTTGATAATAAGCATTAAAGTTGAGAAATAGTGACACTTATCTTTGTTTTTCATTGAAGTATTTCTTCTGGAGAGACGTTATGTTGTAATGATCCAACATGATTCTTTACACCTGTAATCACATTCTTTAGGAAGCCGAGGCAGGAGGACTGTCTGCAGTAGATTAAATAAACCAATTCAAAAGATGTGTGGTTCAGTGGGTTGGGGTGAATTCAAGGGCCTCCTGAAATAATGAGTTCTAAGCTTTCTAGGCTACAGTGTAAGACCCCACGCATTCTCACAAAATGTACTTGGGTTATTATAGGTATTAAATGAGATAATGCCTTTTAAACTTGGTTGGGAGTAAACCCTCAAAACATAACCAAATTATGCCTATAGCTCACAGTCCTAGCCATTAGAGTAGCTGCATCTGACAGAGTCTGAGTACAGATGCCTGGACATGTAGGAAATTCATGCAGGTTTCCACAGCTATCAAAAGGTTATGCCAGGATGTTAAAATCCCAGCTTAGCACTCAAAACTATCTACAGTGCCTCAAAGACTTCAGACTTTGTTCTGATGTGTTTCTGAGACCCACAAGGGAATGCAGCAAAGATTCTCGTTGAGAACTCACTAGCCTATAAACATTTTACAAACAGAACTTTGTCTTTCTTTATGGGAATAAATGTACCAATTTGCTATTCTTGCTACCTGAAAAACTCAGGGTAGCTGTTTTTCCTATGAAAGGAAGAAAACATTTTTGTCCAGTGAAGTGAAAACATACTAGCCTCTGCTTCTCCCTACTATATCCATAAATATGCTGAGGCCGTTTATTTTGCCAGATGGGTTTTGATATCCCCCACTGTCCTCATTTTCCATTTCCCTCAGATTCTGCCACAAACCACACTTAGGAAAAAAAAAGACCATGTAAGCATGTTTACCTTCGACTGACTAGGAAGTTAACACACATCCCCAAGTGGTGACTCATCGCTATGGGTCTATAAAATAGAAGGTGCGTACCCTGGGAGGCTAGACTACGGGCACTGCTGGTCACCATGCATTCAGCTGTCCTGGCCACTCTCTTCTTGTTGAGCTGGACTCACTGTTGGTCCCTGCCTCTTCCCAGTGGTGAAGATGATGATGACTTGTCTGAGGAAGACCTTGAGTTTGCAGAGGTACAGTATTCTGCTAATCCTACTGTTGTGCTGTAGTGCTTCCTAATCCCCTTTCTCTGGAAAAGCAGGCCGTTTTTGTCTCTTTTGCAGCACTACCTGAAGTCATACTATCACCCGGAGACTCTCGCGGGCATCCTGAAAAAGTCTGCGGTGACCTCCACAGTTGATCGGCTCCGAGAGATGCAGTCTTTCTTTGGCCTGGAGATGACTGGCAAACTTGATGACCCCACCTTAGACATCATGAAAAAACCAAGATGTGGAGTCCCTGATGTGGGTGGATACAGTGTTTTCCCTCGAACGCTCAAATGGTCCCACACCAACTTAACCTACAGGTAACGTGTGTTAGTCTTTTCTTCTTCATGTCTGGAGCAGGCCTTCAGTATTTAATGGGAAGTCAAGTTCAGGATTGGCTTTAATACAAAGTTAAAAAACACAGAAGTAAGTTATATTTAGTATTTGGTCGTGTTTTCTACAAAATTAAAAGTTTGTATTGTACTTAGTTAGTATTTATAAAAGAGGTGTCTACAAGTCAATGTTAAACCTGAAAAATGAATGAATTAGTTTGTTAAGCCCTATTATCTTAACGTTAATCCCAACATTATTCTTCAGGGATGTCCCAAAATATTTCTTTCTTTGTAAGTCATTTTTTCTTTTTCTTTTCTTTTTTTATAAATTTCATTTAAATTAGAAACAATCTTATTTTACATATCAATTCCAGTTCCCTCCCATCCTCCCCTGCCCCCCATCCCATCTCCCTCCACTCCCCAGGGAGTGTGAGGCTTTCCATGGGGGATCATCAAAATCTGTTAAGTCATTTGGGGTATCCCCCATGTATCTAGGCTAAGAGAGTATCCCTCCATGGGAAATGGACCCCTAAAGTCCATTCGTGCACTAGGGATGCATCCTGGTTCCACTGCCAGAGGCCCCATAGACTGCCCAGAGCTCCTAACTGACGCCCACGTTCAGGGGGCCTGGTCTGGTCCATGAGCTCCCACTTGCTCAGGTCAGCTGTTTCTGCGGATTTTCCCAGCGTGGTCTTGACCGCTTTGTTGGTCACTCTTCCCTCTCTGAAGCTGGATTCCAGCAGGTTGGCTCAGGCTTTTAGAAGTGAAACCACAATTCTGGAGGAGTTTCCAGAAAGTTCAAAATGCCACAGCAGTCACATCTGTGATGACGCCCCTGAAAACAGAGGGTCCTACTCTTCCCATAAGCTCTGCAGTGTCCTCCTGTTTAGTTCCAAATTTTAGCATGAAAACCAAGTTATATTAGAATATTTTAGATTTAAGAAGCCCAGTACTCAGTTATTTGGTGATGCTTAAATGTCTGATGGAATTCTTGAGTTCCGTTTTTGTAAAGCACACATTGTACTTAGCAGAGCTTTCAATGCAAAGAAAGTATATTTTAAGAACAGTTCTAACCTTCCAAAGTTTAACTGACACTTTCTATGTTGAATAGAATTGTGAACTACACCCCCGATATGCCCCACTCTGAAGTGGAGAAGGCCTTCAAAAAGGCCTTCAAAGTCTGGTCTGATGTCACGCCTCTGACTTTCACCAGAATCCAGGATGGCACTGCTGATATCATGATATCTTTTGGAACTAAAGGTAAAGATGTGGAATTAACATGTTAATGTATTAATTCTTTCTTGGTTTCATTTTTAAATTCCTGTTCACCACTTTCAAAAACAAAACTCTGCCAAGCCCCTAAGCCAGGTACTAGTTGTGTGTGTGTGTGTGTGTGTGTGTGTGTGTGTGTATGCGTGTATATGTATAAAGGGATTCTAACTCTTGCTTCTGTATATAGAACATGGTGACTTATACCCATTTGATGGACCTTCTGGTCTTCTGGCACACGCCTTTCCTCCTGGACCAAATTATGGAGGGGATGCCCATTTTGATGATGATGAAACCTGGACAAGCAGTTCCAAAGGTAATCGTCCTTATAAGGATGTAGCTCATGTGTTATTAGACACAGATAAACTGCTATAAAGTTAGAAAGCATGCAAGCAAATTGTATTTAGCATTTGATTACATTTTCTAAAATAAAAAGCGATATTTTGCACTAATTAGTTCTCATAAATAGTTTACAAATCATTAAATATGAAAAATTGAATAAAATCTATGAAATTTGTTATTGTGGCTTCAGGGATATACTCTGCAAAGTAGGGTCAAAGTCTTCTCTGTTAGGCATGGTTCTGTGTCTTACTATGGATTATAGTTTTGCCTTTTAAAGTAGTATAATTTAATAAACACACACACAATTAAAACTAACATTCTAAAAGATGAGGGAAAGAATTATTACAGGAAAGATGAAAATATAGTGAGTGACATGTTCATTATCCCTCTGAATGATGTTCTAAGCGATGGCTAGAGCTATGTGCGACCTTATGTGACCTCCATGTGGCTGATTCCAGGCCATTTCGTGTCTGCCCCCTTACCCTGGCCAGAGAAGACAGAGAAAAATCAGGATTTCTATTCTCTTCATGGCCACCTTTAGTGACTGCTAATCTGAGAATAATCTACTGACAATGCTGTAGAATTGCATCAATTGGTTCTTTATGCAGTGACCTATATTCCTTACAGCCACAAAGATTAGTATTTTGAATCCACACATTGACTCTGAGGCTACTGAGAACTAATTTTAAAGAGTGAGTAAAATGATGAACTAGGAAAAGATGGAGAGATTAGGATTTTCTTTGTTGCCTCCTCATTGGAGGGTATTGTTTTCTCATTGTTTCTTGATTTTCTTACAGGTTACAACTTGTTTATTGTTGCTGCCCATGAGCTTGGCCACTCCCTAGGTCTGGACCACTCCAAGGACCCAGGAGCCTTGATGTTTCCCATCTATACCTACACTGGCAAAGGCCATTTCATGCTTCCCGATGATGACGTGCAAGGAATCCAGTTTCTCTATGGTAACTCTTAATATACCAGTTATAAAAATAATTAATACAGTTACATTAGAACAATAGATGCGCATTTCATTTTGAGACTAATAACCCATTTATTATGTTTTCAAACATGAGAAAAGATAATCCATCTTTCTGAGTCACACTAGTTGCTCAGGTTTGAGTGGCAGTTCATTTTTTAACATTTTTCAGACCATAGCTCCTTGTATTTGTGCTTATTCCTCACTTAACAAAGTGCATGTACAGCACAGACATGATGGTGTAGATGAGGGCATAAAGAGCTCTTATAAACTCTGCCTTTCCTCAACCACTGCGGTTTGCTGCCATAGGAATCTCTCACGGGGCCTTTGGTGGTTTTCAACCAACATCCGCAGTGAGAAATTTCCTCTTATTTCCTTCCACTTTTCCAATAGTATTTACAAAACATTTAAAGTTCAACCCAAACATTTATTTCTGGGTTCTGTGTCATCAGAAGAACTACAGCCACTGCTCACAGGCATCAGCACAAATGCTCTTGGAGAATTCGTTCAGAAAACTTGTTCAAGCCGCCTCTGGATTTAAAAGACTGTGACAGTCTGTGTGGCTGAAGGCATGAACTTAAAGGTGGCGAAGGGACGTTTGGAGTTTATTTTGTAATTCTTGATTCTACCACGTTGTGGCCTAGGAATTTGTTGACAGAATTTTGTGTGTGGGGAATGAGCGTGAGGTTGCAAACGCAAGGCCGGTCACAGCAGAGCTTCCTGAAGGCCTGCATCACTGAGATGAAGGGCAAACTGATGTGGCAAAATCAGCTGACATACATCTTCAGTTGATGAGACAGTCGAGTGAAGGAGCCGAGGGGAGGGATCCATGCGGGCGATGCAGCTGGGGAACGAGCCTGAGGGTGGTGGGCTTCCTGTCAGCCGTGACTGTGTGGCAGAAATTCTCTCAGAGCTGGTTCACCTTGCATTTCTTCCACCACCTTCAAGAAACGGACAACTGTGGTTCAGAAGACCGAGAGGTCCACAGCGTGTAAGCAGAGGGGCAGCACCCTGCTCACCTGTGGTGCTCTGCAGGAAGGGAGGATTAGAGTAGGAGTTTAGGAACTACTGCCCTTCCTGGAAGGAGTCCTTTCCTCCTCTTTCCAGAAGGATCAGCCCTCCTATGACTCAGGACACTTGGAAACCTCTCATATTTGCTTTGCCACTGCAGGTCCAGGAGACGAAGACCCCAACCCTAAACATCCCAAAACACCAGAGAAGTGTGACCCGGCCTTATCCCTTGATGCCATTACCAGTCTCCGAGGAGAAACCATAATCTTTAAAGACAGGTACCCTTAAGATTCCTTTGTTAAATCTGCACATGATGAACTCTGGTAAAGTTATGTCTGAAAATTGCCAAAGCATTCTGTCAAACTTCCCAAGGGCAAGAGAGAAACAGTAGACCAAGGGCGGCTTACTGCTTTATTATCAAATAAATGGTGGCTAAATCTTAGGAAGAGAAAGGAAAAATAGAAACCCAACTTACTTGAAAATCATGAAAAGTATTGAAAGTAATTGCTACACTAGTAAATTTACCAATAGCCACACTACTTTCTTTCAAGATGGAGAGACTGATTCCAATACCTATGTTGGAATTTTCAAAGAGGAGGTGATTTACAGTTAAAACCTATAGGTAATGAAAAATGAAATATTCACTTCCAATTTGTACATGGTTGTATCTTGCTTCTGTGTTAATCTCTTCATTGATTCACATCTCCATGTGGGTCAGATAGCATGCCCTCTCTAATTACCTGGCATCCAAGATGTCTCCTCTTGTACCAGTTTACAAGGTCAATGAGATAATGGAAGACATACTCCTAGAGCCCTACAGTGCAGGGCAAATGTGCTGGCCTCTCTGAATACACGCTAAGTAGAATCAAGCATGGTTTCAACCCGTAGGGAACTGAGAGCCTTCAATAGGGCTCTGTGACATTTCAGATGAGAAGACCTGGCCAGAACAGGGAAGGCTACAGCTATTAACTTAAACGGCAATTATTTTCCCTGTATGAGTACAGGCATGGTTGGAGCTGCACTGATGTGGACAGTGGTTATTAGCAGGATGGAATTACCGCACTTAGTGTGATAAACTGTTTTCCCTTTTACATCAGATTCTTCTGGCGCCTGCATCCTCAGCAAGTCGAGGCAGAGCTGTTTTTGACAAAGTCATTTTGGCCAGAACTTCCCAACCATGTGGACGCTGCGTATGAACACCCATCCCGTGACCTTATGTTCATCTTTAGAGGTGAGGCTGCCGCCGGGGAGGCTCTCCAAAGGGCCGGCATAGACGGTCGGTTAACTTGATACTATGGCCAGAGCTTAGTAACATGACCACTAGCAAAGCAATGCCGAAATTAAGAACACCGGGCAACACAGGAGAACCGGAAAGCACTTGCACCTGTTCTACCAAACGGCCGTGGGAGGGAAACGGCCCAGTGCCGCACATCTGAGCACCCGGGTTTGATCCCCAGAGACACAAAAGGAAGGGAAAGAGGGCACGTTACCACCCAGTCTCTGCTCTACCATGCTCTTTCCAAGTTTTTCTTTCAGTTTCTCTTAAAAACGACTGGCTAAGGAAACACAGTGTGCATCTTTAACATGTGAAAAAGGCTCAAGCAGGCTTCTTCCTCCTACTCGCTGTGTATTCCCTGACCTATTTTTCTAGTCGTTGGTCGCATTTACGCAGAGTGTGGGTATGAGCCTATGCTCTGTTTCCTTTGCTCCCCGGCTAGGCTGACTGGCCTGCGAGCCCGTAGCATCCTTCTGTTTACACTCAGCCCCAAGCACTAGAGTGTTAGGTGCCTGGCTTCTTACATGGGCGCCCCAAGTCCGAGCTCAGGTCCTCATGTTCCCACAGCAAGCATTCTTACTCACCAACTGTCTCTCCAGCCCCTACTTAGCTCTGATATATAAGCTTGGGGCTGGGATGGGGGATGAAAAGGCTGCCCTGCCTTAATGACCATAATTCATTTCTGTAACATTCTGCTATGTCATTTCCATCGTTTGGCCCCTTTCCAGAGAAAAAAGTAACTTTTTTAACTGATAAAAAAACTTGAATTTTGAATCTAATTCACTGAACCTAGTTGATCTTTATTTAGAAATTGTAATAAATTTTTCATTCAGCTTCAAACTTAACGATCAGAGCAGTACATCGACAAACTGGTTGTGGTATTTGGCTGGCTGTATTAATAATCAGGAAGTTCCAGCCCTGAATCTGAAGGATGCTTCCGTGTCTTTGATATTACAGACACTGACTTTGCTATTTCTTAAATAGTTTCCCTTTTGGGTACATGCTTGCATGCCTAAGCCCTGACAAATGCTCCTTGGTAATGAAAACTGTTCTTTCACTCTTTCTAGGCAGAAAATTCTGGGCTCTCAATGGTTACGACATTCTGGAAGGTTATCCCAAAAAAATATCTGAACTGGGATTTCCAAAAGAGGTGAAGAGGATAAGTGCTGCCGTGCACTTGGAGGACATGGGCAAGACCCTCTTCTTCTCGGGGAACCAGGTGTGGAGGTGAGAGACTTGAGCGCCAGCACACGCACGTGTGCGCACGCACCCGTGTGCGAGCGCGCCCCACCCCCACCAGTGCTTTGGGGCAGAGTCCACACCTGTAGCTACTGCTGTTCCCAACTGTTTCTCATACTTTGGCTTCAATGCCAAGGGTGGTTTTATTGACGTGTTCATATTTTAACTCAGCTCACAAAGCCCTGGGTTTCACTCATTCCGGGTGCGTCACTGTGTTTTGCTTGTCCATTCCCTCCTGCCTGCCTCCCTCTGCCATTCCCGATCACGTCGTATTTTGGATGTGTTACGGTCCAGCATTCCTGCTTGCCGTCAGCTCCTCCAGCAGCTACTCTGGGACTGAAGCGCACACACGCTTTCTCGCACACACCTCACACGCGCATGCACGTGCACACCCCTCCATCCACAGCATTCATTGTCTCCCAGCCTTTGTTCTTTCTTCATACAGTGAAGCCATCTCTTGGTTTTGCAATTTTGTTCCTTCTAATCTTTCACCTGGATTCTCTTTCTTGTCATCATTTCCTATATTTTGATAAATATATCTTCCTTTTTCTTATTAATCAGATATGATGATGCGAACCAGACTATGGACAAAAACTCTTCCCAATTCATAGAGGAAGAATTCCCCGGAGTTGGTGATAAAGTAGACGCTGTCTATGAGAAAAATGGTAAGTAGCTACTACATTGCACTGACTTTGCAGAAGAGCTCCTGGGACCCAGAAATGTCTCACATATAACGGACTTTAGAACAGAATCCAGATGAGGCTACATATGCATGGCCGCTGCGTGACTGCTTAAACGGCAAACAGAACAACCTGCTTAGAATCGATGAGGATTTTACTTAATCACTGCCAAGTGTGGGAATGAAAGATGTTTAACCTGAGGATGGTCTTAAATTATACGTAGAGACGCCAAGAGGCAGAGGGTTGTGTCAAAATTCAAATTAGGGCTGGAGTGCAGAGTAGTTTATAAGTATTCATAACTATTCAATTATTTTTTGCTTTATTTATGACAATAAGTATGACCCCAATTTATAATAGCCGATGAATACCAATGTTTCTAACATCAAAACTAGAATTTGTATCAAGACAATTAATTCTAGGGCACAATTCATATAGTCTTTGAATATTTGTGTATTTTAAAAAATACTTTAAAATATGATTACGTCGTTTTCCCTGCTTCCTTTTCTTACCTCCAATCCCTCCCACGCCCCCTCCCCTCTCAAATTGCTGGCCTCTTTTTCTTTCATTGTTACTGCCACATATCCTTTAAACTACAAGCAAAACATTAAACTGCTATCTTTTTCAAAAATAGAGATATAAAACTTAATGAACAGACTGCCTAGCATGTGTGAGGCCGTGGCGGGTCTCCAGACCCGTAGTAAGCAGTTAGATAAGTAGGGAAGGACTACCACGGATTGGATCTTTAATCTTAGTTGTAGCAAATCCTAATACTTTTAAAGGTCTGAGGTTTTCTTTTTGTTCTCTTTCATCCTAGGCTATATCTACTTTTTCAACGGGCCCATACAGTTTGAATACAGTATCTGGAGCAATCGCGTTGTGCGAGTCATGCCAACAAATTCTTTGTTGTGGTGTTAAGCATCTTTTCAGAGTTGTTATCTAACTCCTGGAGAGCATCTGGGATAACAATTTCAGTCGTGGTGGGTGGGGTGGGCATTGCCGGGAAACTTTGTTCTGGGAACAGGCTTCGGGAAGCTCTATATGACTGTTTGTGGCTGGAACCACATTGAAGAATTTTAAAGTAATGAAATTGAGAACCCCAAGGGCTGACTGAGTCTTGGGTGCAGTGAAGAAACAAGATTGATATTTTCCACAGCAAACATGGGATCCACTGCTGATGAGAGTGAACATAATTATTAATATATTTATAAAGAATCCTAAAAGGCATAAAATAAATCGTATTTATATAACAAACATGGAAATTTGGGGAGTGTATGGCAGCCACTGATGGACGTAGATAGAGGGAAATGCCTGCAAAATACAGATTAGCAGACAACTTTCCAAAGGAGTGATTTAGGCTTTGCACTGTGAGTACTCAGATTTAAACCCATTTCATAAAACACTAAGCAAAGATCAAAGTCACCGAAGGAAGGGGATAATGGCCGCCATGAGGACAGTATAGGTGGCTTTGCATTAAACTTATTTCATTTTGGGTCACCTCTCAAGGATTGATGGAGGGCAGAGGGAGAAACAGAGGAGTTCTCTTTTTGTTAAAGTGTTTCAGGTCTTTAACAGGCCATAGAGTAAAAAAATGAAAGTTGTTATAAAATACCTAAGCAATAGCATAACTTTTTCATAAACTGATTACTTGAGAATAATAATAGGTTTCAACCCTATTTATCTACCTAATTGTTTTAATTACCCAGTTCTGATACATAGACCCTTTTCTAGTGACTTACATGACAGGAACTAAGGCAGTGACAGTGAGAACAAGTAGGTCTGCGGGGACACAGCCAGCCAGAATAAAGCTGCACAGTGACCCCTTGAGCTCTGCCTTTGTTTGTTAATTGCTTATCTTAGTGTCTGACACTTGGCACTTACTGATATGTGGTAGCTACCAAGAGAGCAACTATTGTACAGAGAGATGGTGTTTGTTACACTGGGAAAATGGAAAAGAAGTGTGTATTTGCACAACGTGTTAGACTGTGTTGATGTTTCTAATAAAACATGTCTTCAGCAGATATTGTTGTTTGGTGTATTTGATTGTTGGCCATAATTTCAGATTTTCTTAAAACAAAAGATTACCAAAATTTCTTATAAAATGCAGTCTCTGACCTCCTCTGCTCCCTCCCTCCTTCCTTCCAAATACAAGTACTAGAATTAATCGTATCTAGCAGTGTTGATACAGAGTCATGGCTTTTGATGGCCAGATGCTGATGAGCCTTCCTCTGGGACTGGCTTCCCCAGATGGCCTCATGCATGCCCCGCAGAGCTCTGCCTCCCGAGGGCGCTGCCCCCCAGAGCCCTGCCCGACCCCAGAGCCCTGCCCCCGAGGGCGCTGCCCCCCAGAGCCCTGCCCGCCCCCCAGAGCCCTGACCGCCCCTTAGAGCCCCGCCCCCAGAGCCCCGCCCCCCAGAGCCCTGCCCGCCCCCCAGAGCCCTGCCCGCCCCTCAGAGCCCCGCCCCCAGAGCCCCGCCCCCCAGAGCCCTGCCCGCCCCTCAGAGCCCCGCCCCCAGAGCCCCGCCCCCAGAGCCCCGCCCTCCAGAGCCCTGTCCCCGAGGGCGCTGCCCCCCAGAGCCCTGCCAGCTCCCAGAGCCCTGGCCCCCAGAGCCCTGCTCCCGAGGGCGCTGCCCCCCAGAGCTCCGCCCCCCAGAGCCCTGCCCGCCCCTCAGAGCCCCGCCCCCAGAGCCCCGCCCCCAGAGCCCTGTCCCCGAGGGCGCTGTCCCCCAGAGCCCTGCCAGCTCCCAGAGCCCTGGCCCCCAGAGCCCTGCTCCCGAGGGCGCTGCCCCCCAGAGCCCCGCCCTCCAGAGCCCTGTCCCCGAGGGCGCTGCCCCTCAGAGCCCTGCCCGCCCCCCAGAGCCCCGCCCTCCAGAGCCCTGTCCCCGAGGGCGCTGCCCCTCAGAGCCCTGCCCGCCCCCCAGAGCCCCGCCCTCCAGAGCCCTGTCCCCGAGGGCGCTGCCTCCCGAGGGCGCTGGCGAGGAAGGAGGAGGCTGGAGAGAGGGTGATAAACGTGCACCTGTGCTCTGCCTTGAGTTTTGTGTGCGTCCTTGTGTCGTTTAATCTGCAGGGACTTTACTTTCCTCATCTTGGGTAAATGGGGGGAATGCAGAGGAGGCAGGTAACAGCAAGAGGAAGGCAAAGCACCAGGGATCACATAGGTTACTGAAATCATCTTAGGTGTGCGTTTAGTTGTACGCTAAAGTACATGTGTGGTGGTCAGGGGTAACATTTGGGAGCCAATTCTTTCCTTTCACTCCAGGGAGCGAACACAGGCCATCAAGCTGTCATAGAAAGCTCTTTTACTCGTGGAGACATCTCCCTAGCCCAAGAATTCCACAGGCTTGGAAAGTTTAGGCACCTTTCACTTTCCTATGTTTTGCCCATTCCTGACTATCTTAATAAGTGTCTGTTAAACCTGTTCACTAATGAATGGAACTTTATCCCTTCCTCCTAAAGTGTTTCTCCCATTATGAGGACAAAACTGTGGGGCAGCCATAGGGTCAGTAGTTGGATGCTCTCGAGAGAGCAGTGATGACGGAGCCGCTGTCCACCTCTCTCCAGGGGCTCTACAACGATCTTCACTCTCCTCTCAGCTCAGAATGCCCGATTCCTAAGGTTTGCCTGTCCACCTCATGAATTTAGCTGAGTGCCTGTCCTGCTCCAGAAGCTTCAGTACAGCTAAGGGGAAGTGAGGGGTAGGTCCTCATTGCTGTCTTGGAAGTTCCTGTTCTCTTTGGAGAGACCATCGTTGCTGAGACAGAGCCCGGTGCAACCGCGAAAAGCCTCAGGCAACCGCGGTGCACACAGAAGCCTCGGGCAACCGCGGTGCACACAGAAGCCTCGGGCAACCGCGGTGCACACAGAAGCGTCGGGTGGTCACAGAAGCCTCGGGTGGTCCAGGGAGGTGGGTAACGAAGGTGGAACTTGGGTTCCAGATTAGAGAGAGGACTTCCTCGGTGTTCTTACACGGGTGTGCTAACGCCCAGATGGGCAGAGGTCACAGAGGCCAGTGAAGACAAGCAGACTGGAATCAGGTGAGAACAGATCTCTGGGAGCCCCAAAGCGCATTAAATGGGGTTTTAAGATGACTTGGACTGAGTGAAAATTGTTTCCCCTATCCTTGAAGTAAGTCACAATGCCAAATGTGGAACTATCTCTCTCCTGCCCTTCCCCCAACATAAATAAGAAAGGACATTAGGCCATTCAACACAGGAGTAGCGTGTGAGATCTGTTCTTGGAAACTGAGTCAGTTAATGGACACACTGATTTGGGGGAGGGTGAGTATTCATCCCGCTGAAGCATGGAACACACCTGTGTAAGAACACTGAGGAAGTCCTCTCTCTAGTCTGGAGCTCAAAATATTGTCCTGGAGTGGTAGGAGGACACTCCGTGTCTTCGGTCCTAGTCTCAGGAGGGTTCTGGAGGTTGGTCTCCAGCTGCCCTCTGGGAAGGAACCCTGAACTCAGAGTACCATTCTCGAAGCGCGTTCTGTAGGCCAGCATATCCGTGTCAACAACACTGCCCTATGCCACCCACGGCCTGCTGGGAAGGAACTGGGCTTCAGTCAGCCCCTCAGGTCCCATGGTTCCTCGGGAAGGGTCCTCGCAGCATCCCCCCCACAAGAAGATTGAGTGTGGGTGTGCACGTGAGTACCTTCATTCTCCTCCGTTCCTTCCAGGCCCCAGCTTATCCCATGGTGATGCTCACCTTCAGGGAAGACCTTTCCACTCAGTCCTCTTGACACTTCTGCCAACTGTTTCAGAAACAGCCTCGAAGACATCCTCAGAAGGATGCGTTACTGACAGCTTTTATAGCTGTGTCTCAATCCAGTCAAGTTGAAAACCAAAATTAATCTTGGAGCGCTTTCATGTTAAGTTAGAGATAGTGTCACTGCACCGAGGGCCTGCTCAGTGGGCAAAGCACCCGCCGTGCAAGCCAAGACCAAAGTCTGGGTCCTCAGGGCCCATGCAAACGTTGGGTGTGGCAGTCTCCTGTAATTCTAGCTCGGAAAGTGAAGCTCGGGGAACCCTGGGCAAGCTGACGAGCTAGCCTGACTGAAGCAATGAGCTTCACGTGTGATTGAGAGATGCCGCCTCCGCGGCTAAAGTACAAAGTGATGGGGAGACACTTCACATCAGGCGGGGGCCTCCACACACTTTCCCTCACATGCATGGGCACCCCACCCCACCAAACCAAACACCCCACCCCACCAAACCAAACACACACACACACACACACACACACACACACACACACACACACACACACACGAGAGAATAAGCTATCCTGGGTCTCATTGTCCTTGCTCCAGAATAAAAAAAAACATCAAGCAAACACCAGACATTACCAGGCACAGTCCATGACACACGGAAGCCCTGGTCACAGGAAGAAAGCAGTGATCACAGGGAAGCCCTAGTCACAGGAAGAAAGCAGTGCTCTTAGAGATCCAGGACAAGGCTGTTCACGTGCAGCACCAATAGGTGGCGCCATATTCACTAGTTGGCTCCAGCAAGGCCTTTGGAAAATACTGAACTGCTATTTGAGTAAGGCAAAACCAGTGCTTTGGTGTGTGTGTGTGTGTGTGTGTGTGTGTGTGTGTGTGTGTGTGTGTGTTTATGTGAAGATGACAAACTTGGTCCAGTGGCTGACTCTGTTATTTCCAACTTTATGTCATTGAGTTTTCATGAGGTTCATCAGCTCTTATGAGTTGAAAAACAGTTTGCTCTGGGTGTCTTAGGACGGAACACGTCGTTGTCACTTATATAAGAGTCAAGAGTCAGGATGACGTGTTACCCAAAGCCACCAAACCCTGTCCGTGGCACAGTCCTTTAGAGCTGAGGCTTGTGAGTCACCCCGGGCTTGTCACTGACATCCTCTGACGTGATCTTAAAACGGGAAAGGCACAGGCACAAACCTAACCCAGTGCAACAAAGTGACAGCAGGCTAGACCACTCCACTCCAGCAGCAAGGGCAGGAGGACCAAGTGGCCTGGCGCCATGGGAAGAAAGAAAGCGGAAGAGGATGTTCAAGGTTACCAAGCTTCCTTTCCGTGCGGCTTAGCTTCTCTGCTCTGCAGCGCCTGGAGTTCCGAACTGTGTACGTCTGGTTAGGAATGCTTACCTGGTTAGGGATTTCATTTATCAGCGGCCTCTGAAAAATCAGTTTCCTGAGCTTACATGTAGCCTTTTTGGTAACTTTCTCATAATGTCTTCCTTGACATGAGTCACCAAATTTATCCCTTAAAATTAGATTATTTTGCTCATTTGTTTGTTTTGGACATGTTCTCACTGTGTTACTCTCTAAGTAGACTGCATTAGCTTTGAACTCAAAGAGATCACACCTCTATGTCGCAAGTGCTGGAATTAAAGATGTGTACCACTATGCCCAGCCAAAATAGATTCTTTAAGAAATGAAATTTATTTTCTACATAGGAACCTGAAAAATCCCATTGTGTGAAGTGCTATTTTGAGTATACATACAAGTGTTAAAAAATAATTGTAACCCAGCCTAGATTTCATCATTCACTAAAGTTGCCACTGGGCAAGTAGTTACTACAGGGCTTTCTATAATCAGAGTTAGAGCACCTGACTTTTGTGATGGAGTTGACCTCACAGCACAAGTCCTTACATATGGAGAGCTATCACGGTGTTTTCATGCTTTATGCTCGACTGAAAGACATTGACAAAGCATTCTTAGTTGTGGCCGTATCTCATGGCACAATTTTTACAATTTTTAAAAGACTTTTTGGTTTATTTGTGTGTGTGTGTATGTGTGTTTGTATGTGTGTGTGATGTGTGGTGTATGTGTATGTGTGATGTGTGTGTGTATGATGTGTGGTGTGTGTGTGTATGTGTGTTTGTATGTGTGTGTGATGTGTGGTGTATGTGTATGTGTGATGTGTGTGTGTGATGTGTGGTGTGTGTGTGATGTGTGATGTGTGGTGTGTGTGTATGTGTGTTTGTATGTGTGTGTGATGTGTATGTGTGATGTGTGTGTGATGTGGTGTGTGTGTATGTGTGTG